ATAATAATATGACACTAGACTTATATATTATGTGGTTTTTTTAGACTACCCATACACTATACACCTTATTATTATTGTTATTATTACGTTACCTTTTTTGTAGGTATACTAAGAATATAACAAGAGAATCATATTACCCAATTGGGGAACGCGTCAAGTGACTTGAGGAGAAATGTTGAGGATATTATGTTTTTATATGACTTATTAAATGGTCTTATTTATTCTCCGGAATTATTATCTCACATTGGTTTTAATATACAAACTCACGTATTAAGAAAATCTAATTTTTTTCATGTCCCTCTTGGCAAAAGCAATAAAATTATACTTCCACCTCGTTTTTCCCCAGAGCTCTATCTTTGGCTAACTGTAGGTATAATGGATCATGTTGATTTTTTTCTATGTCGCGTTATGTATTCAGACAGAATGTTGTTTATTTGGCCTTATATTTAAATTTACTTATTTAAATTATTATTATTACTTTTTTTTTGTAACTATTATTGTTAATTAATGATTTTTACTGTACTATATAATTATTCTTTATTCAGCTGTTTACTATTACCATTGGTATTTGGTACTACTAATTTTTACTTATTTTTGGTATCCAAAATCTATTATAAGATAAGCTGAACTGTACTTATAATTATTCAAATTGCTAAAGGGTTTAATACCTGTTTATTATACATAAATAAATAAATAAATAAATAGAATATATCTTAAGTATTTTATTAGTATTAAAGCGGCCTCGTAGTCAGACACTCGGACGGCGGCGAATGCGAATATTGAATACGTACATCCTCAACCGTATATTACTTTATTGTTATATTATCGTAGCAATCGCACGTATCTCTCTTACACACACACGCGAACTATTATACTTACGGTATGTTGTCATTATATTATTATTATTATTATATATTTATATGTAGTGGACGATGATCGTGCGATAGAAGACGCACGCGCGAGAGGCGTCTGACAAATAAACACGCACGTATCCTGTTCATATAATATGTTATCGAGTTATGTTTTATTATTATTATTATTATTATTGTACATAGGTGTACTGAGTGTGTACTGTAATACGCGTTGCATAACGGTCTCACGGTCACGGACGGACAATAATTTAGGCACAGTACGTACAAAAATAATATTATTATTATACGTCATACACGTACCACAGCGGTTCGGACGACAACGACGACGGCTGTAGTATTGTACATTATTATATACATAATGATAAATAAAAATAACGAACTAAACATACTTCTGTGTGTGTTTTTTTATTTACCGCATGTGCGCACAGCGTAGGAACTAATATATACATATAATATCCCAACAAATCACACCGTGTAAGAAAACCGCTAAGTAAAAAAAAAAAAATACGGCTCTAAAAGTTGTGAGTCCGTTTTATAGCCAAGTCTTTCGACCATATAGATATCATTTGTGTCAAAATAGTCTGCTAAATAATTGAACTTAGCTTGGTGACTTTTAAACACTTGATTAGTAATAAATAATAATGCACTACATATTTCAATGATGGTAGATAATATTATTATTATGAACTTGTTATGCTATGGTTGTAACTTTTGAGCCTGCTTGCGAGTTCCCCCGTCCCCATCAACATAATATTTCTGATCGATTGGTAGGTACCTTATATTATGTCAGCCGTTTGCTCTGTAGAGCGGGCTGATGGATAAGCACACTTTTTCTATACGTTAGTGGCTTTTCGCTTTTTTATTTTACTTAGCTTCGCGCCACTACCCGCCGCAACCTAACCTGGATTTGAAAAAAAATGAACGGTGGAAAAAAAAGAGTTATAATTTGTTGTGTATCGCACGATGTAAATAAATGAATAATTGAATAATACGTTTTTATATTTTAATATAATAACTATATTCAGCAGGGGTGGCAAGTTGGTCGATCGTGGAACCGTTTTTTTTTTTTTTTAAACAAATAACATTTTTATCTCTGTTTATCCCGTGAGTATCATTACAATTACACGATTTGATCCATTTCGTTGTAATTTTTATTTTTACCATTACACACTTTTATTTCACTGTACAACGAAATGGATCAAACCGTGTAATTGTTATGATTACAGTGAAATAAAAGTGGGTAATGGTATAAATAAAAATAACAACAGTGATCAATGGTAATCCGATTGCGACTACCTTAGCAAACAAAGTTTGAACGTAACCCCCTTACAAAATGCTAATTTCCGTAGTATCTGATGCTGAAGATAAATAAAACAAAAAATAAATTAAAATATTTTTTCTACAGTAGATCATAGCGGTTCTAATCATAATTATAATAATAAATCAAAGTAAATTCATATACTAGCTAGTTTTAAACATATCTAAATATGAGTAATAATATAGATTCATACTAGACAATTAAAAAAAAATAGGTACAAAAGTAAAAAGGTTGTCAAATCGTGTATGGAATCGTAATTTATTACGTTGTATAATATTAAAATACACTTAAGAAACCGGGAATGTAACAAGCTCACACTTTTTACTCAACTTTAATTTTTAACTATAGTTAATATCCATCTATTTGCTAACTTGTTTACATTTATATATGGATAAATTACATATTATTATGTACAGTCAATATATAACCAAATGCTTAATAATGTGGGAAGCAATTCGGGTTAATGATATTTTTGAAATCAGGGAGCAAGTATTCAAATAAAAATAATTAAGAACACTGGAGAAAATTCGAGTGTGTCCGAACTCGTTGAAGGTACATCTGCCACAACAATCGAGGTCTTCTCCCGCACTTTTGTTATACTTGTTATTAACTATGTGAATAGAAAAAAAATTTACATATACCGCAAAGGATTGTTCAGCTATAAAATGTATCTATTTCTCTCCAAAACAATGAATTGTATAGTTACCTATTTTATTTATTGCAGGTACGTAAACGGTTTTTGGTAACGGAAATCGTAAGAAAATTACTTTTGAATTTTTTTAAATTGGTTTTAAGATTGCTCATCTGAAATGTTGACAAACAATTGTTGTTTATGTATCGAGTGACACTTAAAAACAATTCATTCTCGAAAATGTTTTTTGTTACCTATCTACGATAGGTACAGTCAGTGCGATGTATTTAAACCTAAATTATCTACTTTATACATTTGGCTCACAATAATACTTATAATAGATAATAATATATACGCGTGTGATAAAATAAAATATATGCGCTTTCGTGGCATAAATTAACCAGCCACAATTTAAGCACTGATTTTATTACAATTAATAATATTTTAATCGCTATCGCATGTACAGAATTAACGCCGAGCCTCCGTACTTTCAACATAATATAATAAGCACACAATAACAATTTAAATTTATAATCCCGCAGAGGTGTATATTATTTTAATATAATATATTTAATGCGTACTTGGCCGTTTTTCCCCGAACATTTTTTTAAAACAATTATTAAAACATTTATTACGTAAATTCATGCGTATATGGGTTACAATAATACATCGTATGGTTCATAGAGAAAACCTAAAATACGGTGTTGATAATAATTAATCACATCTGTGTCCTAAGTCCTTGCTTGTTACCTACAACTGCTGTCGTCCGAAACTAATACACAGGTACCAAAAAATAATATAATGGCCATAATAATTCGTCCGTAATTAATACGATGACGAGTGTCCATTAATAATTTTCATGATATTATAACAGGCCATAGATATACGACGATTGAGCTGTATTAATAATACAATATCAGGATTTAAGATATATAGGTACACTATGTACAGGTTACTCAACACAGTAAGGAAATTAATGGTCTCCTGCAGACTCTTTATAGTCCAGAGTGATGCGCACGTTTTATTGCCAAGAATCAGCTGTTCGGCATAGGAAGTATCACAACTATAGAGCTCTCATTGTATATATAATTATATGATATAACTAATATGTATGGAAATAAAAAAAACAATGTATTAAGTACCATGAAAATATACAATTAATACATTAATTTCTGTTTATGGTGCCTTTTTCACAGGCCGCAATCGAACTTCAACACTGGGCATCAATAAAATGCTCCATAACCTTTATAATAATATCTTAAATCGTATGTAATATCGACGTTACGCGTACGAGTTATAATAATATTATTGTATTATTATTATCCATCTCTCGACATTCGACATATTATATCAATTATTATCATAAATATTGTACCGCCCGTAACCACGTTACCGCGAGAGCTCACATACCTACATATACGCTCGACCAATCAATAATAATTATAATAGTAATAATAATATGCTGGATACCGAGTGGTTTTAATAACTCTTATTTAAATTACTCGATCGTAATGTGTACGCGGCCCCTATTCGTCCGAAATATGTATCTATTATATCCACACGGATGAGTGAACATATATAATATCATTACCTAAACGATATTATATCGATACAATATGTACAATGTACATATATATTATATTTTGTTAGTGGCAATACGCGTATTGTATTATATTGTAACGTGTGGTGTATTAAAATATGTGTATAATATATCTTCCTATATACCGCGTAGGGTTGTGATGATACGATTTAACGATCGTATGAATAGTTGTCTGTCTGCATTTCTGCAGTCTGTCTACCGGTATATTAAAACGATTATAATATTATCATTTATAAATTATGAGGGATCAAAGGGAAATTCCGGGAAAATGTTTTTTGTCGTTTCTTTAGATATTTGTACAGTAAAACCTCCGCCGCTAACAATGGGCAACATTTCAATTACCGAGAGTGTATGCGGTATATTGGTATTTAGTGGTTTCACTTATTTTATTTTGTTTTATAATAAGAAACGGGTTTGAAACCCTTTTGAAAATGTATACAAATTACATAATTACAATAACATTTATAACAGAGTAAAAAGTTTAATTACAAATAATGATAGATAAATAAAGTTAATTAGATTTAAGACATTAAAGCTCATTAATATTAAAAAACGAAAAAAAATAAACAAACAGTAAAATTAAAGATCTATAGAGGGATCCTCATTGGCCATTAACATTAAACGCCTAAGCCTAGGCTCATTTTTCATATAATTTCTTGGACATATAGGGACATGAAAAGGAACACTTGAACGGTTTTGACATATAGGGACCTTGAAATTCAGTAAGGATAATAAATCAGATGAATCAACTTGATCATACAACAGTCCTTTTAGAAACTTTACGCAAAGCATTCGCCTGCGTTCAGCTAGAGAGACGAGACCTAATTTAGCAGGAACAGCTGAATAATCGTGAGGAGGGTGTTCAATGCCTAATAAGAAACCAGTAGAACGAAGGAACCGGCGCTGAACTCTTTTAAGTTGGAGAGAGTCATTAGAAGTATAAGGAGTCCTTATTAAGGACACCAAACAACCACACCGTATTCTAATATAGGTCGTACTAAAGTCCGATAAATTCATAAAAAAAGCCTCCACAGATACAGATGCAGACCTGATGCCATAATATAATATAGGTAGGTATTTATATTGTCAATTGTTATATTATTGTACTCTGCTGGACAAATTGGCTTTTTACTACTTGTTTACTAATCTTGAGAAAATATCTTATGTCATATCCAGCGAGGGTGTGGTAACTATATGGTTACAACTGGTAACTATATTGGCTCAAAAGTTGAGCTGTAGTAAATTGTTAGTATATTTGATTGAAACTTGTTTATTACATGATACTGAAAAGGTAAATTCCAATCAATCCACTCCAATGCTGCTAGGCTCCAGCCGCCCACCGGTTACGGTGTTACCGGCTACTCCAGCGAAAACCAATTGACCGCACAAAGCCAACTCCACGGCGTGAAGCCACTTAAACGAACGTTCGGGAAGTTGACCGACCTAAGTACTTCAATTTCTTTTAAATCTATGCCATTATTTTGCAAGTTATTTCAAGTATTTACAAGTATATTTTTAGAATTTGCAAGTCCAAACTTTCACCGTGAATCCAAAAAATGTAAAGATGGGCCAACTTCACGTAGCCCAACCATTTTGACCGAGAACTTCGAAATCGGTATCAAACAAAAGCTATAATGATTAGCAAGTATTTGAAAGCCCCTTTTTGAAATTTGCAAGTCCATCAGGCGGTCACTATGAACTTTTGAACTTGTGAAGTTGGTCCACCCACTTTGTCATAGAACTTTGAAATCAGCACCAAACGAAAGCTAATGATTAGCAAGAATTTTGCAAGTCTGTTTTTAAAATAGACTTACAAATACTTGCAAATAACTTGCAAAATAATGGCATACATTTAAAAGAAATTGAAGTACTTAGGTGGGCCAACTTCACGAACGTCTTAAACGGGCGGACGCCAGGCCTTGCTAGACCGGTGCCCTAGACTAACCCGTCACTCGTGCTACAGTTTGTAATGCGTCATCGGTAGGACTTGCTTCGACGACCGCCATCGTCTACTGACTTATGAGACTTTCGAGGGATACGCCACCTGTTGCGGCAGTCCAAAGCTCTCCCACAGCATCTCCTAGAAGAGATTATCTTGACGACTGATACTGGGACGCGTGGCCCACAAACAGTGTGAACCGGCGCCCGTACCCCCAGAGAGCTGAAGGCACCACGGAGAGGGTCGGTGGCCCTGTCCGCGACCGTGTCTCAGGCCAAGGACCGCTGGTCTGAACCACGGATCATTTACTTATAGCTGTCCACGGCTTGCCATTAGTTATTCACAGGCGACCCTACCAAAATCTAAGTTGAGGGGAACCGGGCTTCTCCTATCCGCAACCCGGTGACTCGATCTAGTCCTTATGGCTACGGCTGCTACTCCCACAGCTGAAGGCAGGCTATGGTTTCGCTAGATTATAATAATATTCAATGCGTCTAAATTTAGTACAAATTGTACACAATATTGACTTTTTTAAACTGCCAGTGTGCCTTAACGTATTATTTTATCAAATATATTAAAATATTAATATAATCTGAAGTCGTTGTAACAGAACATTTAGAAATATGTATATTCTTACTATAGATTACATTACTATAGGTTTTTTTTTTTATTGGTATACTTAATAATTTTTTTGATTTTTACTTTTTTAAACGTATATTTATTATAAAACGTTTTTTTAACAAA